AATGGTCCGCACCTGTTGCAACGAACTGCACTGCTGGGTGGGCTGGTGGTGATCTTGGTCATCCGAACCACCAGAGTACCCTGTTGTACCAGGACGCTTGGTGAGCCCTATCTTCTCCGTAGAATGCCCATTGAGCCACATCTTTTTGGAAGCCCCACAGCAAAGCTGGCTCAGGTGGTGGTGGTGTTCTGCCCCCTGGTGCGGCTGCCACTGGTAGCCATGTGAAGACTTGAGCTGGACGCGCCACTGCCAGCGTCCTCCAAACATCTGCACGCAACTGGTGCATGTTGGGGATGTCAACAAACCGGTAGCCGTGTGCCTGTACCGCAGACTTCATCTCACTGCAGCAAGGCGCAGACACATGATGGCATGTTGTGTTTGACAGCGGCATCAAGCTGTTCGGTGACTCGGATCTGTTCTGCTAGAGAAACAGTGGGCAGAGGCTGACCCACAGGAACATCTTGCACATGTTCCGGCCATGAAGCTGTACTGCTGTCTAACCAGGCACCCATACGAGGCTTGGTGGGGTTTGTCGGCCGCCTGAACAGCCAGAAGGCAGCATCCAAAACTGCCTCCACAAGGCTACCCCTGCTGCGGTGGGTGCATTGTGGTGTGTGCTCCTCAGATGACTTTTGCCAAATCGCATGGGCTTGACGCTTCCAAGCTGCGTCCACTGTTTGGTCTGCCGCCACTTGCTCAGGCGTTCGGTTGGCTCGCGCCTCCGACCACCGCGCCCACCGAGCAGTAGCTGCTGCTCGGTCCGCCACCACTTGCTCAGGTGTCCGGTTGGCTCGTGCATCTGCCCATCACGCTGCAGCTGCTGCTCGATCCACCGCCACTTGCTCAGGCGTCCGGTTGGCTCGCGCCTGCACCTTTCTGGTTGCATCCGCACTGGACAGCTGGGGTGTCGGGGGGGAAGGTGTGGCTTGAGTCCGGCCCGTCAAGCTCAGAAGCCACAAGCCTCCACCTGCAACTGTACCTAACCGCCGACATCCTGCGTGATGTCAGGAAGAGGATTACTAGTCTACCGCCCATGCAGGAGATGGAGCAACATCACGGGCACCAGTCCCAACCAGGACTCCTTACCGGAACCAGAATTGTCCATAGAAATGGCCGGTCAGACTGATGTCGCGACAGGTTATCCTCCTATCCTCAAGAAATGCAGTTGAGGGCCAATGGAACACAGTACATCGATACAATATGGATGTATGTTGCGCAGTACCGCTGTTTGGTAGAATTGTATCCTGAATCCGTATGATAAATTTTATCCTGGATCCGTTTGACAAAATTAATAAATGCACTCGAGGGCCAATGGCACACATTACTTCTATACAATAACTGTGCTGCGCAGCATCACTGGTTGATAGAATGTATTCTGAATCCGTATGATTCTATAGAATTTCTGCGACTGAATTTATCCCGGGGAACGTTGCGGTGTGCGCGGCTTCACGTCATTTCGTGGCGGAGCCATTGTAGTCTAGTTTTCCACTGCAAGTCCTGTCACACAGTGGAACTACGTGGAACTACCCACAGCCACGCCCAGGCGTCCCCGGTTATCCTGATATTTTGTGATAAACGTTTAACCTTGCAAGTTCATGTCAAACAACACAACTATGCGCGTCTGTTGTTCGTTACCCACCACGTGCCCAGTCGTCCCCATGGCCTGACGGCCCAGTATCCGTGTGTCCCCGCCCACATGTTCACGGTACACATGCACGCGTCCAAGCTTCATGCACACGCCCATGTTACATCCTCATGTCCCGCGTCCACGCGTCCATGCTACATCCACATGTGGCTACATCCACGGTGCCACCGTCCCATGCACCCACATGCCCACACGCTCACGCGTCCATGTGCCCTTGCATCCTCGCGTCCTCACGTCCTGGTGTCCTCGTGTCCTAGCATCCTCGCCTGCAAGTCGTATGCGACCCGAGATTCGAACCCGCGACCTGTCGTCCTCGCATCCTCGCGTTTCGGTGTGCAACTCGAAACTCGCGGAGTGCGACTCGAACCCGCGACCTCTGATTGTGAAGAGGGCGCGCGCTAACGAAAACGCAAAGCTCCGGAACCATCCAATCGAGCGCGACTTTCCAACGAGCCCCGGACGCGAGCCGGTCACGGACGCGATTCAGAGATGCCTTCCCTCCGCTTCGCTCTTCGCTGCGCTACGAGAAGCTACGGTGACAGACAACCGGACAGCAGACGAGGCGCGGTCCCTGCGGTCCCGAGGGTGCCGTAG